GACGTGGAGAGCGTCGACCCATCTGGAGACGTGGAGAGCGTCGACCCATCTGGAGACGTGGAGAGCGTCGACCCCTCTGGAGACGTGGAGAGCGTCGACCCATCTGGAGACGTGGAGAGCGTCGACCCCTCTGGAGACGTGGAGAGCGTCGACCCCTCTGGAGACGTGGAGAGCGTCGACCCTTCTGGAGACGTGGAGACGTAGCTCTGCAGCAGACGGCGAAGAGACCTGAAGCTCTGCAGCAGACGGCGAAGAGACCTGTGGCTCTGCAGCAGACGGCGAAGAGACCTGTGGCTCTGCAGCAGACGGCGAAGAGACCTGTGGCTCTGCAGCAGACGGCGAAGAGACCTGGAGCTCTGCAGCTGACGGCGAAGAGACCTGGAGCTCTGCAGCTGACGGCGAAGAGACCTGTGGCTCTGCAGCAGACGACGTAGAGACCTTTGGTGCGGTGAAGTTGATGGGTGCTGGATGAGTGATGGTGACCTTGGGTGTGCTGAGTTTCCTAGTTTCTATTAATAATTTATTGTACTCTGGGAGCTGAACGAGACCGGGCCATGAAAGCAAAAACTTATCCATATATGAAAATATTACTTCTGAGCTGTCCGGGTTATTTTTAGCAGTAGTGAATGAATCTAATAGTGACTGGTTAATGAAAGCGAGATCCTGGGGTGAATATGAGATTGATGGGCCAGTGTCTTTAAGTGAGGGTGGGGAGTCAGGTGTCGCCCCCACCGAAAACCTGAGAGGTGGGGCGGTGGAACACGCCCCCACCGAGTCACTTGTAGCATGCCCCATAGGTACGGACAGGCCGGGTTGGACAGCCGCGGCGCGATGTGACGGCGAGAGGCCGGACTCCGCCCCCACCAAGAACCTGGAGGGTGAGGCCACGGAATCCGCCCCTGTAACGTCAACCGGACCAGACTCGCCGAACCGAGCAGAAGTGGACCTGAGCCTCCGCGGGACGTCGGACCTCGCCCCCACCGAAAACCTGAGAGGTGAGGCGGCGGATCCGGCTCCCACAGAAACACCAGACCCAACTCTAAAATTCTGCTCAGCCGACGAAACCGGCCCGGTCGCCACGGGCTGCCCT